CTCCCCTCGGTTTGACGGAACCTGCAGCACAGGCCATTCTGTCGATGCTCTTGTAGGTACCTTGTTTTACATGGTGATTCTGAACAAGGATGGACGTCCTTGTCTGTGTTCGTCCCTTCCATTTTGACCGCATCTTGATCCGCCCTATTAAGCACCAAGGAAACCCTTGTCATTTCCGGGCAAGACGTCCGATGGGTAGATCACTAGGGGACACCTTTTTTCGCACAGGAGCTGAAGGACTATTCTTTTATTGCGCGGAGTGCTTGCCGGCTCCATCCTGGCGACGCAGAGACGGTAGTGCCCTGGTCGATACGGAACCCATTAGAATGATCAATCATACATTGGTCGCCTGTCTGACACCGGAGACTGTCCCTCCCTGAGCCGGCCATTTGACCATGGATAGACGCAAGGCCGTCACTGATTCATAGATACAGAAATATTCCTTATCACTGCAGTTGTTAAATAATTTGCAGACTCCAGATCGGTATAACAGATCCCTGGCTGAATTCGGATGGAGAACCCTCAGTTCAGCCTCATCGTAAACTTCCACTCTCCTTGTCAGAGGGCCCCGACCAATGCAAGAGACTCTCTGGCGTTTGGAATGCCGTCCCTCTCCTGTTCAGAAATCGTTACCCAGGCCGAATCGGGGCCTTTTGCCGATACAGGATCCTCTGTTAAGCACTGTGGGCCCCTGACCTAGAAAGGGCCCTTATTCCTTCAGGGGATCCCGGCCAAAGCAAATCGCGCGTCCCGGCCTTGCCCCTGCTCGGCAGGTGGGCCTAAGGGCTCAGACCGAAACAAAGCCGACTGCTCGGTTTGGTGGTCTCTGATCGAAAAGAGGCCCGCTTTGTCCCCGGTGCCCCCAATCGGTGTAAGAGGCCCTCTCACTGGCATCCCATGGGCCGGCCCTGCGAGCCGGGCTACTTAACGCAACCTACAGGCAACACGTGGTGTTCTGCAGTGGGGCACGATCGTCGGTGTCAAGGGGCCCATCGATCTCCTCTTCAGGCCCCTTCGAACACTGTCCTAGGCCGACTTTGCGCTCTTTGCCAACGCAGGACCCGTGTCAGGCACCGCGGTCCCCTGACTGGCACAGGAGCCACGGCCAGGCGTGTAGCCTGAGTCTTGGCAAAAAAGCGGGACAGGGCTGACAAAGGCCCCCTGATAGTGAAAGACGCCAAATAAAAACGAAGAAGTCTCCGGAAAAGATCCATTTCTTTATAAGGACACGCGCCCATTTCCCATTTTTAATTTTTCCTTCTTTAACTGGAATAGAAGCCAGAAGCCACAGCCAGATAAATTCTATCGGCACTGCATAATCAATGAAGTGAAGAAAACCATGCGTTGAACAATTGCGTGAAGTAAATCGCCCCCCCCCCCCCCCCCATTTTGCAGTGGTCCGGTAAATTCTTTTTGAAGTGATCGAGCTCAGAAGCTCCACCAGCATTTTATCTGGATTCTACAGGGGTATTACGGACCCCGAGAAAGAAGATTGTCAATCGAAATTGGTCAACAATTTGTGTTAACATGGCCAAGCCATGTTTGCCTGAAAATGTTCAACATTCAATCAGAATCAGTTAGAGACGCAACTTATGTAACGTAGCTTCCAACCTCCGCGCTCGCAAACCTTAGCAGCTAGGACCTCGACGTCAGGCGTTGCAGTCTTCATAGGCCGCGCGGCATCGACCCCGTGACTAATATTACCCCGTGGTCAATGAGTGGGCGAAAATGATGACGCATCTGAAAGCGCCTTTGAACACTTCATGACAACAAATCGTACATGTAGAAGATAGCCCGTGCGTACATTTTACCCACGCGATTTTTAGATTGGTGATAATCACGGACCAGGCTTCACAGCACCGTGAAGTGGCGCCGGAATCTGGTGGTGGAACTGGAGGAGTATATGTTTTTTTGTGCTGCTTTGGCAGATTATCTGTCCAGGGGAAAATCTTATAGTTGAAAAGATACGCCCAGTCTACTCCTTGAGCGGTGCGACTTAATTTTGAAAGACATTCAGAACCGTTACTTCACGGTGGTCGTTCTTGCGCGTTCAGTGCCCGCTGTATGGCGTTACTTGCATTGGTTAACGTCGTTCGGTTTTTCAGAGTACCCAGAACATCGTTGTCCCTGCTCCCGAGGTTTCGGACGCGCAGGCTCAAACCTTTTAGTGTAATTGGTTTGGCTGATGAACTCTGCGCACAAAGTTATTGCTCTCAGGCGAACATGGGATGATCTCACTCGTTTTTGAACTCGTTCCGATCCACTCTGTTGAACACTAATGAGGCCCTCAATATTGTTGCGGGCAGGCGTCCCCATGAGTAGAACACTAGAGGGTACATATTGTTCCCGGTCAAGGGCTGAAGGGCCATTCCGTTCCAACGTGGAGTGCCTTCCGCCTGCCATTCTTGCGACACAGTGTGGGGTCCCTTGGTCGATTCGGGGGCCCTTAGAGGAATACCTCATATCACATTGGTCTCCCCCCCCCCCCCCTGTCCTGTCGCGGGAGATCTTCTGACCCGCGCAGTTGGCCCCTCATTGACGCAGGAACCCTCACTGACGCAACAACATCCCTGATCGCTGCAGGTGGTTCAATAATCGACACATAGACACCAGTTCGGCTTAACGGGCCCATGCTAGAAATGGGTTGTAGGGCCCACCGTTCGGTGCTGGGGACCCTGGCTGGCACAGGACCCTTCCATTGTCTCAATGTGAGCACCCATCATGTGCTCGTATGTTTACTTTCATTATCCGAAGGCCCGATCAACGCAGGAGGCCCTCTGTCATTCGGGGTCCTGCCCCGTCCCTGTTGAGCAAATGTTCCCCGGACCGACTTTGGGCGACTTGCCACCACAGGATTCCTGCTAGGCACTACAGGTCCCCGACCGACACCCCCAGATATCAGACGCCTGAATCATGCAAATCTCAGCCTCATCCATGGCTCGTGCTTGAGAAATGGGTTCCCAAGGCTCAGACGACACGCAGCCGACTGTCCGGTGTTGGTGATCTCTGGCCGAAACAGAGGCCGCACTGTCCCAGCGGTTCCCAATCGATGCAAGAGGCCCTCTGACCAACATTTGGGGTCACGGCTTTACAGACAGAAAGGCATCCTTAATGTAACAAACGACCGGTCCTTTGGGGCCGTGACCTCACCTCAAAAGGACGATGGGCCTTTCAATCGGTCCTTGATCTTTGGTCCCTGGGGCCATTCAAGCAAAGCCCGTGAGCAACTCGGGGCCACAAACCAGCATATGACTCTTTGTTAGGCGCTGTGAGTCCCTCACCGACACAGGGGCCTAAGCCATTGTTTCAGGGGCCGAAACCACTGCAAATCGTGGCCCCTAACCCTCCTTTTGCTTGAGAAATGTTCCCCCAGAGTTCAGACTGACAGGGAGCCAACCGTTCGGCGGTCGTGATCTCTGGCCGACTGAGACACTCCCCCCCCCTGGGGGGGGGGGGGGGTCCTCAAACGGTAGAGGGAGGGGAGGGGGTCATAGGGGGCACGTACCCCCTATGACCCCTTGCCTGCGGTACTGGCCCCGGCCAATGTAAATCGCGGGCCGTAATCTTGTCCCTGCCTGGGAAATAGGTCCTCAGTCCCACACCTAACGCGTGAGTAATCCGGTGGCGAATCTGTCGCGCATCACGCTCGTTAGGCCTCCTCCACAGCGTCGTAGTTTCGCAAAATAGGAAGGATGGGGCTGAGTGGGGAAAACCTAGCCCAAAATACACTAAGAGACTGTTTCTGGAGTTGGCCCCCTTTGATCCCAGCGTTATGATGTTTAAGCCCGCCCCCCACCCCCTTGAATAGGGAATTACAATCCAGCTGTTATGCGTGTCCTCGACCTGCCTCAAAGGAAGATATTGTCGTAGGGCATCATTATCATGTACCTTGACGGCGATTGTCGAAACCAGGTTTCGGGAATCAACGTAGGATAGATGTGATGTGACTTCGAACGTTGTTGCACGGGGAGAAAAGGGGTTAAGTTGATGTGCGCGGCTCTTAAAGGCTGCCATCGAAACCCCCGGCTGGTAGCGGCAAGGCGAGGTGTAGGCTGTAGCGAAGCACTCATGTTTGCATGTAAGACGTGGGTAGTGCTACTTTGGTGATCATTGTTGGACGATTATCGCTATGGGTTTAGCCGGCTGGTGTTGACCGTGGGGTCTGCGTACCTTTTCCATTAAATATTCATGCCAGAATGAAGGTCAGCATACCTCAATGGCTCTTCCGAGCATAGACAACTGTCATCTTGGTCAGGCTTTTGGGCATATTTATTCCACCAGTTTGTTTTCGCGTTCCAGTAGCACGTTGTGACCAATTGACCCAGCTTTCTGCAATGCGTAGAACTCATAGCATCGTTGAATAATGCCAAAACGCTCAGACCATAGCACAAAATACAGACCAGTGCCCATAAGCCGTATCAAGAGTGTCATTACGTGCATCTAGCATGTAGGAAGAACAGAAAATACTCAAGTAGTTATGACGGTACGAGAGCAAAGCTTTAAAATGTGGTTACCTCAGTCGGCATCACTCAACTGAACGTGAGATCGCATTGCTCATTTTATTTGTTCTTTCTAGCTTAACGCAATGCCTAAAAGGTTGGGGGAGTCACCGCAGGGAAGAATTGGCATTGGGTAGAACAATGGTCTACCCAAAACAGCACAAATCGACACTTGTGTCCCAGTTGTCTGATCAGTTATTGTTTTGGACAGCGGGATTCGGTAATTCCTATTAACAGTGGCCTAGTATTAAAGAACGAAATGTAGTAAACTGAGCAGTATAAAAAGGACCAAACAGATCTTTTTTCTGCCAATCAGTTTTAAATAAGCTTGATCTTCTCTTTTCGTGGTTCACTGTCATTATTTTCGGCTGTCTTTCCATCATCAAAATTTCGATGCCCACAAACAAAAAGTTCGTGAAACTAGCCGCAACTTTCAAAAAGGGACATAAGCTGCGCTTTGGCGACAAACATCACCAATGGAGATAATCTGCATCGGAATTCGTTGGAATCGCGGCTGCTCGATCGGTTTGCACCGCTCCAGACAATGGTCTGAGACTCCACAATCTGCTGCTGGACAATCGACGGTGAGTGGTCCGATCGAATATAGAATAGCACTGTTGAGAGTTAAGAGCTTCTGGCAGGTGTCTGACTGATGAAGTACCTCCCTTAAATCTGCGTGCTTTACATCCATTCGAAAGCTCTCCTTTCTCAGCATGCAAGTTATCCATGATGTGAATGCCAGCCAAAAAACGCTGGCGGCCTTGAACATGTATGTTGTTGTGACAGAATTATGTTCATAATTTCACCACCACGTGTGCAGCATACCTCAGTGCTCCCAGCTAGGTGAGAGACTACCACAAATTTGAGAGCATGCAGTGGTAATACCAAAATGAAATAAGGGTCATGCTGCATGGCTGCCTAATGGTTCAAAGATTAGATGGAGATTGTCACAATAATACTGGTGAATTGTCTTACCCCCTGAATGATTCCAGTGTAGTGTTCACATTTTGGGTGACAACACTTGTTTGTTTGTGGTAGAACCCAGTTGATTATGGTTATTGTTTTCAGGGATACATAGGAGAAGAAAATATCACTAGTACCTTTGCATATAGCTGCTGAGCTGCATCACCTTGAAAAGTGGCACCATGGATGAAGATGATTTACTTCCTTGTGTGAGTAGTAGTGGCATATGTGCATAGTAAGTCATGATTAGTTGGACATGCTTGAAGAAACCAACTAACTACAGGTCTCAACAGTCACAGGCAGTTGTTGTGTGACCAATCACAGTTGTCCCCCAAAAACTGGCAGTGGGAGTAGTTTTCTGGTATTTTGATGTGCAATGAGGGTGTGAAACAACATGAGGTATAGAAGTCTTTTTGATGAGACAATTCTGGGCACAAACAACCACTGTTCACATAGCCTTGAAGCCTCATCACTTCTAACACTAGTGCAACAGATGAAAGGTTGCTTGTCTGATACAGTTTATTCAGTAAGTAACACACCAAACATTTTCAGGTGGTGAACATCCCAGGCTCCCGACATGCAAGCATGAATGTGGTTCTTGGCTGTGACAACAATGCTGTCCTTCATGCGGTTGACTATGGAGCCAAAACTGGAGCCATGGAGAAGTCTGGTAATCTTCATTGTATTTTGAATGGACTTAGACATGTTACTAAGCATGCATCTAGTGAATATTCCACAAGAGCATTGGATATGCCTTTTACAGCATCTGTTAAGCCCCATTCTTCTGTGAGTTAGTTCTCTGCATATTGTAGCATAGATGTGTTACCAAGTCTGCATTCATTTAACCTTCTGCATGATGATTGGATGTCTTGTAAGGTGTTAAACAGACAGGTGTGGAGGATCAATTTGACCCTGAATATTTTAAAAATAACTCTTGAATGGTGTAGCCACACTGCAACAGACATTGTACAGCTGAAGGCACCTGAAAAGTCCATCTCTTGGCATGCCAAAATGATATGCCTCATAAGGCAGCTGACCTGTAGTAGGCTTAGTCCAGGCTATGGCTGTCAATGGTGGCAGTTCCTATGGGATCGTCCAGTCGGGTTTTACAAGTGATACAAGTGTTAGGCGAAGCCATACACGCTTGAGATGGTTCCTCAACAATTGCAATTAAGATTATGGCCAATTCACTTGAACTCAGGTCAGGTATGAAGATCATATCAAAGTTCAAACCTAACTGCCACATTACTGGAGAACTAGGATTATGGGACAGTTTTTCATGCTCATTTTGAATCCCTGGATTACAGGAATGTCAACAGACAACTGACGTAGAGTAATGGCTTGATTCAAACACTAGTGACCTTTAACTTATACGATGGTGCCTAAGGTTCAGGTTTTGGAATTTCCTTTCGACTTGGGCTGGAATTGATTCCGCAATCTCAAATTGACCATCGACACAAATGGACTAGCAACGTAACAAAGGTTCAGATTTTACATCGATATAGACTCAAGTCAAATTGAACCGACTGAAGATCACGTGACAAAAACAGTGTTGTGGCAGTGATCATGGACTATTGCAGCGCCAACCGACCTTGCTGAATGCAAATCGCGTGGAATGAACATTGCATGGTGAACTGAAAAACTGTATCGAATGGGATAGTCACATTCAGTTAAGTGTCCGCATGTTCCTAAAACAAAACGTTGACCTGGGTCATTTTAGGTCAGTGGTGAATTCTGGCCTTTTCTTTGTGCATATATATATATATATATATATAGATATATATATATATTATATAGGTATATATATATATACATATAATATATATATATATATATATATATTCCCTGCCATTCTACAAATACGTCAAATTTGGCGCGGCTTTGCCGCGCCCTTCGGAAACCATTGCGGAAAATCATCGGGGGGGGGGGGCAATTTGACCCTCCACCCGAGCGCGTGTCAAAAGCATACTAAAATACGTATGGAGTGTGTGTGGAGATGGGGGAGGGGAGGGGGTACATGGTACCTAAACGTCTTGATACTTTGCTGGCAGTTGCACCTTTTTTGGTTTTTTTCTTGCTGTGCTGGTGAAGACGGCTAACAGTCGTGCGCTAGAAAATACGTATAGTGCGATCAGGGAAAGGGTGCTTTTCCGATGAATCGTTTAGAAACATTCGTTGTGAAAATTAGCGGTGCTGAGCATCGCTCAATGGTCCGAGACGGACGGTTCGTTCGGACGGCCAACACAATGTCTTTAGATAATACACCAACAAATTATTACCAGCGAGGATGCCGGGTAAGCCTTGTTTCTCCTTTCAACAGTACATTGCCCTTTTTTAAACTTCTTTCAACAGTGGGCTACCTTGCTTTTTGTCTCATTTAAACTTCTTTCAACAGTGGGCTACCTTACTTGAACTATGGTGAAATTCTTCTAATAGTGCTGGCCTGGTTTTGAACATTTTCATGACGAAGTGGATTTTCAGTTAAAAGTTTACATACATCTTCATGTCTCGCTTTCCACACAATCCAGCTGTTGGGCAGTGTTTGAGGTATCACGCCGCTGTAGATGATATTTCTCATTCGAACAAATTCAAGCAATCTGTCTACTGAACGTGTCCGTTCGTGTGCCTCTAAACGAGCACGTCAACGCTTCTGATAGCTGCGTACTTTAGTAATAGGTGGGGAACGTGTTGGCTGTAAGATTGAGGCTTGGCCCAGCGGGGTCGCAGATGTCATGATACCTGAAGAACCCAATCTACACAACCAGTTGAACAAACGTGGCACAGTTTAACTTAACAAATGTAACATAACTTTTTGCTTCCGTATGTTACGTGACGTTTGTTTGGTTTAAAGAAATGTTGCACATTTGAAGATATCGAGGCAAACATCAGTTATGATGAAAAAGCCCACTTGAAACTTTTGGTAAAGTATTTAGCGCAAAAGACGTCTGGATAACAAAATTTTACAATTCAGTTCATATTCTGCTCAATACATCATCGTTTCATTACGATATGACTTTTTATGACGTCAGAGCCGTTGTCAGACTGGCCGTGCCAGAATTGCCACTGTAGCGGACGGGCTGGCTCGCCTGCAGTACTCAAACTCACTCGCCGCAAGGTGGCTGGTTAATCTATGCATGTAAAAAACCGACCATTGCTATGTGCGCGTGTTTTGGTCCTTTCTCCTCGTGTTCTTGTATGCTTTTGTCTTGATAGCACATTCGTTATTTGCACTTGCTTGCTCGGCTAGGGCGCTATTTCTAAGTTATTGGATTCAAACCTCATGTTCTTCGTAACTGGTAGATTTGTGCAAACGCCTGTATTATGGTGCTGTTCGTGATCGAGACTTGCATTTATTGCGTGGAGTTTATTGAGAGCTAACTGGTGTCCGTTGATGCGACAAGTCCTGCAGACGTACTTCAGACACGAAGGCGTTAATGGCCATTGTGAAGATAAACTTATGTGACGTTTCTTTGACGTCGTACATCGCTGGGTGACCTGGAGTTAGGCGCGCCCTGTGCGCACTGCTTACGCAAGTGTCACTACAACTGCACTGCAAATATGGAGACTCATAAACCTCGGCATGGGCGGAATTCGTGGGGATTCAGCACATTTGTGTTTGCGTGGTACTGCGAAAAAATGCAGGGCCTAAAATTCAGATTTTTGGGAATGTGAATCCTGTCACCTTCCACTGGCGGCTGTTATGAACTCCTCAACCCCCACAGTTGAGATGGATAGTTGCTGGTAGCAGGAGCCCAGCGAAGCCGATCCTGATAGGGCTTTCTGTAGTCCTGCTGCGCCAGTCCTCCATTCGTATGCTGCTCGATGGACATCGCAGCCCGACCGCGTCTCACCGGAGCGCCGTCTGATTTCAGACGTGGCCCAGGGCGGCACCTGCGTGCGCGAGGTGTTCTGGAGCAGCGGCCAGTTCCCCGCCTGGTGGCGGCAGCTGGCCAACGAGTCGGCCGGCGTGTTCTTGGACGCGCAGGCGTTTGAGCTAACTGGCGACGAGACGGGCGCTGCGCCAGAGCCTTCTGAAGCTCAGTCGGCGCTACAGGTGGGTGTCGGTGCCCCGCTCAGCCGGCGCGTTGAAGTATTCACCCGGCCAGTGTTCAGGTGCGTGTCAGTGTCCCGCCCAGCCGGCGCACTGTAATATTCACACGGCTAATCTACAGTGTCAGCGCCCCGCCCGGCCGGCGCACTGTAGTATTCATGCCGTGTTTCTGCGTTCCATAGTGGCACAAAAGAGCAATAGCTTCCCTTATCATTCCAGCACATTTTCGTGGTACTTGACGTGTTTAATGCCTCACTTGAAAGGGATCGCCTACGTGACTACTTGACCTGAAAATGAAGGTCTGTAAGTGTTGGCTTTCGTTCGAATGGCCCCAAACATTGCTGCGACCCGCGACAAATATCAAATGCGTTTTGGAGTTAACAGCAAGATGTATTTACGCGCACAACACTACAGTACGCTCCGTGGGGTATCTAGTCCTGTAGGCCACGACTAACTGACGCGCGGGCAGCATACGTGCGTGCTGTTGAAATGATGTGTTGAGTATCCCCCGAGCCGCTGCCACCCATACTGAATTACCGAGTCACAGTCGTATTGTGTCGTATAACATCCTTTGCTTCCCCCTCCCTCCCCCTAATATCCAACGGCAGTTTTGTTTTTCGCTGTCAGCTCCGTGCGGGCCAGACCCAGTCCCTCTCGGGTAACAGCCATGCCCTGCGTCAGGTGTTATCGATGGTCAAACCCCTTTATGTCGGGTTGATAGACGTTGCTGCGGCCGGTTTCTGTCAGCGGGCGGACTTCGCTGCACCCTGTGTCTTGGGCAGTCCTGCTTGCGAACGATCCTCCCCCTCCGCTATCAGGGGTTGCGGCGTGGTCTGTCGCAGGCCCAGTGTAAGTGTCGTCCTCCCTTGCCTCGGATGGCATTGTCGTATCCCAGGCGCAGCGCGGTCCTGTGTATGGGCGGGAGCCTGTCCGGTCGGGGCTGGTGAACGCCGCATCCTGCCTCAGGTCGTGTCTGCGGGCCAGCATGGAGACGGTGTCGGCGACGGACGCGGCCGATGCGGAGATGCAGCGTCAGCTCCTGGACAGCATGGAGATGATCTGGCACCTCTGCGAGATCCTCCTCATCGAAAAGAAGCGAGGTGCTCACCTGGGGCCGAAGTTAATGTCTCATCCCCGAGGCGATGCAGGGCTGTTTGTCCGGATTTGGCTCGGGTATATCGGTGTAGCCACAAGCCGAAGCGCGCATAACATGCAGCTGAAGCGCCCGTGAGACCTTTGTTAACGAGCGAAGCCGCAGGCGGGCTAAGTCTGCCTGAGCAGTAAGACAGTTTTGAACTTCAGTATCTTGGCCCGGCCTTGACGCTGTCTAGGGACAATATTCACTCGTGAGTCATATAGGCCACACCGATGCGACTCACGGGTACGCACTGACGCCAGTTCCACGCAATATTTGGCGAATGCGGTGCTGAAATGTGCTGCATAGATTGCAGGGCGTTTGCAAACAAAGTGTACGTTAATCAGGTGTCACTTGCCTGCAACATTGCAACTTGAGCAGCTTGTAGCCTCGCTTTCCGTTTAGCGCGCGTGCCGCCGCCTGTGATGTGGGCTGACCGGCTGGACGCTGCCGCCCAGGGGGTGTGGTGCTGTACCAGCTGCTGGACTGGGTGCGCCAGCACGCCACACAGTTCGACAGGGCCGCCGCCCACGTCACCGAGGCAGAGGTGCCAGAGAGCCACCCCGAGTACTGGAACACGGTACGTGCTAGCCGGAGTATGGAAACATGCAAAATATCTTGCCTGCACTGCTGCGCCTGCACGGTGTATAAAATTGATGTGGAATAATCAAGTTAACGGAGCTCAGTTTGGGTCAGGCTGGGCTTGGCTGGGATAAACGTATATTTTTCATGCAGTCATTTTCTGCTTCGACTTTCATGCCTCTCACTAGTTTGCAATCAACTCATTTTTTTCATTTCGGTGCTTATTCCTGCCGATACGATCATGGCACGCAATCCGTGCTGGCAAGGTTACTGGAGCACGGCACGCGCCACGTGATTCCGGTATTGATGTGCGATATATCACACCGAGCGTGTTCGCTGTTACCGGTGGCCGGCTGCTGGCTGCTTTGCTGTCGCTGCTGACATTGATCCTCTGACGGGGGCACTGGGGCGTGAAACGTCACATGTTTCTTGAAGTCGATAGTTAGCGTCGGCTGCGTTTTTGCACGCTCACTGCTATCGGGCGGTCGCCATGTTTTTAAGAATGCTGAAGTGGATGACTAGCATACGGTTGTTTTGGATACCTGATGACTGTGCTTTTAAGTGTATTAGGACATGATGTAACGCGCGGGCTCCGTACCTTACTTTACTCTTACACGAACACTATTATTTATGTGATTAAAACATTCCGGTGGTGAGCACATTGCGCTAACTTTGTGTTTTTACGGGGCAATGTAGGGACCAGCTCTCGAAAGGTCGTATGAGATCTGTTCCACACTTTGTATGCTATAGCCGACGCCTAAATGTTACAAATTGGCTTGATACGAAGCTGTTCCGTCAAATGGTAACCATTGCGTCCCAAGAGTCCAGTTGCAAGAGTGTTGTTTCCTTTACAAGATAAGTAAAAGGGCTGGAGGGGGGGGGGGGGGGTGGTGGCAAAAGGATTAAAAGAATCCCCTCCATTTGCATCGTGTTGATACCCTCGTAAATTGCGTCGGGCCTTTGTCCATGGCTCAGTAAATAACAGCAGTGGGGCGGCGTTACGGTAGGCAGCGCTGCTTCCGTAACTATTGCAGCGCTCTTTAAATGAATACTGCTGTTGCACGACCTGCAGGAGGCCCTGTGAACTACCCGACGGTGCCTGAAGGTTTCGGCTATTATCCGCCGAACAAGAATCGCGTGCCGTGGAAAGCACCCAAACGTTACAAGCTGGCTAAGTATGATGCTGCTCCATGAAATGATGCCTAGCACATCCCCGGGAGCTCCGGTATGCTGTACCGCCGCCGGTGTGCTGGAACACTACGTACTAGTTTTTGTGGAGATGTTGACGTGCACACCACCTGCGAAACGATTACCGAAAAGAATTCAGCGGAAATTAGTTGAAGCACATAGGCTGTCAGGGTGACATTTTGTACGGCATTTTGGACATGTTTTGCGGCAACCTCGCCAAAGTCCCGTCTTGCGCCCGAAAGTGGTGTCAAACCGCGCAGCTAGGTCAGGTCCAAATCGGCAAGTAATCGTGTCAAACCGCGCAGCTAGGTCAGGTCAAATCGGCAGGTAATCGTCGCCACCATTGCGTGGCTTGGGGTCGGGGCGGGCCTGTTGACCCGGGGACCAGATACGGTCACCAGACTGCACCGCGCCGGCGGGTCCCGGGACCGGCCAGCATTGGCCACACTCTACACGCGGAACCGCTAGCCGCACGTCCACAGGTCCCAGTTGAACTGACACACGGGGCACCGCCGGTGCGCACTCGCCCGTAACGCAGCTGGGGCTGCGTCCGAGCGTACGCACGTGAGCTGTCGCGTCTTCCTCCCCAGGCCTGCCAGCCCCTCCCGGCTCCGCGCCGTGTGCCGACGGCCGCGCGCAGGCCGGCCGCGTGCGCTCCCCGTCTCGGCGGTCCAGCGCTGGGCGTGGACGGCCGCTGACCGCCGGCCGCCGCCGGCCAGGTATACGGCTTCGTGCTGCAGGGGCGGCAGGACGCGGCGCGGAAGCTGCTGCGCCTGCACGGCAGCTTCGGCACGGAGCCGTTCGTCAGCGCCGACGAGCTGCTGCGCAAGACGCCGGCGGGCGGCGAGGCGAGCGTGGCCGGCTTCGAACTACGCTGGCGCGGCTGGCAGGAGCAGTGCATCCGCCGCCTGGAGGACGGCGAGTTCGGCTTCAGCCCTCGCCTCCAGACGCTGGTCAAGGTGACCGGGCGGAGGCGCACGGGGGGGGGGGGGGGGGAAGGGACGGGAGATGGGCGGTCTTGGTTCGGCGTTAGCATTGGGATCGATCAGGGCTTGGCAGAAATGGTGTAGTCGTGAACAGGAGGATTTGTTCATGTGAGTTAGGCGTGTGCGCACTCCTTGCTGGGAGCGATTCACTCGTACCTGGGCTGGAGATGACGCTCACCAGGCGTTGTATTGGCTAACTCCTGGCGTCGGTGTGCCGGCAGATTCTCTGCGGCGACGCTCCGACCTTCGAGGACCTGTACAAGCAGATGGGTTCCTGGTACCACCTCATGGTGTCCTACACCCTGTACTCCCGGCCCTGGGTGGGCATCTCCGACCTCAGGTGCGGTGCGGTACGGTACGACGGCCAGTCCAAGCTGGGGCGTTCGGGCGCGAGGGCGCACTAAGAGTCAACGGTCGTGTGGGATTCGCATGCTGTTAGCGATGACATGGCGTTCAGTGATAGCGTCATGTCGCCGTTTCATTTGCCAACACGTTTTGCCTGCCAGCGACCGTCGGCCGTGTTGGTTACCTGGGAAATGTCGTTGCTTGTGAAGGCCGGTGCCCTCGGTCGGGCGGATAAAGTTCGGAGGGTGGCGCGTCTTGTGCCGGAGGCTGGAGGCGACACCCGGCAGGGGTCCAGCTGCGGTGCCAGCCTGCTGCCGAGCGACGGCTTACGCGGCCAGCCCAGCCGCAGGGCCAATGTACCGCGGCTAACAAGCCTGTGCGATCGGTGTGCACGCAACACATTACCCCGAAGCGTATGCGGAAGGTGCGACAGTAAGTGTGTTGCGAACTTGCGTGATAACTTCGGCAACTTTGCCATTTTGACAGGCGTGCTAGGTGTCGCACTACACAGCCTAGAACCACACGGGCCACTGCTCCAGCCCGTGAAAATCATGCACCACGCGATGGAAACGATACCTTCTTTTGTGACGCTTAGCACATTCGTCAATGAATCACTTGCTCCGCTCACCCATCGGCTGCCACCGTCGTGCCACCCGATTACAAGCAAGCTCCCACTGCGGCACTGGGCGGTAATCGGACTGACGCCCGCCGCCTTTGACGGGACGTGCCGGCCCCGACATCTCGCCGCCACCACCCCCGCCGTGACGGCGCCGCCGTCCCGCCGGCAGGGACGCGGCCGAGGACAGCATCGAGGTGTTCGGCGGCGCCAGGCAGCACTCGGCGCTGGACGCCATGCTGCACGCCGTGGTGGACGGCGACGTGCACACGCTGCTGAAGACGGCGCAGGCGACGCTGCCGGACGGCTGGCTGACGGCGCACCTGGCCGACCTGCTGCACCGGCTGCCCTACGGCGGCGGCGGCGGCGGCGCACCACTTCCTGA